AAACGTCAGCCTTCCTGCTCCTCTGATGCTGCTTGGCCTGCTGTGTTCATCCAGCTCTACACGTAGTCAATTTGGCACATCATCCTTTATACTTGCTGGGGAAATCCTTGCCTGTGTCAGAAAATAGTCCTTAGAACTTTGAGAACCATTGGAATATCTTGTACTGTTACGTTTGTATGCAAGAATTCAATGAATTTACAAGTTAATTGTGTGTCTTCTGGATAAAATGCTGCAACATTCCATCAGATGCATGTACCATGTTAGATTATTTTGTTGTAATTAGCATTGGATGTTGTTTTCTTGTGAGAATGTTTTTTTGTTAGATGTTTGAATAAAATTATGACTATTGTTCTATGTTGTTTGATCAGCTTGAGGACTGGTGGCTGATCAGTGCCTACCTGGATGTCCGCATGCCATCAATGTTGAATGTAAACTTTGGAGGTCCTGCACCCTATTTAGAACATTATTGGCCACCAAAAGAAGGCACTCAGCTTGAACGAACTGCCATTGCTGTCTTCTACATGCTGCAATTTTGGAAACTACTTCGGAAGTGAGATGATTTCTATGCCATTGAAAGATGTAAAGCATATCTTTTCCTAAAATTTAAAGGAAAATAAATTACAGTCTTGTTTCTGATAGCATAGAAAATTTAAATGCAATTTTGGAGAGTATGGGGTATTTTTAGAATAGTTGACAACGTTTTCCAGTGCCACAAGCTGCTCAATTGGTGAAATTGTACTGATGTATGCTTGTAAAATTTGGATATAAATTACATCGTCTGGATTTTGGTGCTCCTGATTTGAATTTAATTTTGTCACTTGTACCTGAATTGTTCCATCATTCCAAAGCTTACATTATGTACCTTGCACCTAAAAAGTGCGTATGTAGTACCTTTTTTAGATTTCACGAACATTCATCAACTTCCTCCGTTTACTGCTCCAGTGCACTTTAGGCATTATAGAACTTGTCAATGGATAGCTTACATTGGATTTGTTAAAAATATATTATCTCAAAACAGCCAATCATTAATTAATGGATCAGCATCGCAAACGTAGGACTAGAAGTAAACCCTTTAGCGTGCTCCATCATTGAATAAAATCATGACTGATCCGCTTGTGTTTAGAATTCCACATTCACATTCACTCCAATTAAACCTTGATTTCCCCAGCTTAACATGAACCTATTCCCCTATGCCTGAACATATTTTGAGGAGGAGAGTTCCAAAGTTGCTTAGCCCTGTGAGGGAAGAAAATTTCTCCTCATCTCTGTCTCAGGACTCACTTAACTTTTTTTTTCTTTTGAAATACTTGAAGAAACATATGCTATCTGTTTTTACGTTCTGCCTATCTTCCTCTTAAACCATAATTTCATCCTCATTAACCTTTCAGTCATTCTCTGCCTTTCTTTATGTTCTGAACAACATTTTACCTAACAATAATAGGTAAGCTTTTTCCTCAAGCTTGATGTCTTTCTTATCCTCCTTAGGTAACTACAGACGGTGGAACTCCCTTTAGATTTTATTTCCATTATGGTAGGAATTTATCTATTCTGAGTATTTTGAAATAGTCTCTTAAATATCTACCACAATGCCTATCTTGACCCAGTTCACTTCAGATAGCTCAACTTTCATGGCCTCCCATAGTTGCCGCTATTTATGTTGAAAAGGTAGAATAGAATGTAAGTTTATTGTCACATGTACTTTTACATGAAAAATACAGTGGAAAGGTTCTGGGCAGTTCCAAAGAGCAGTGTTCTAAAAAAAAAAATCTTGAAAGCAGCCCATGAACTCCTCATCCAGGCTAGTACTGCCAACCTGATTTTCCTATGGACAGCACAGTGGCTCAGTGGTTAGCACTGTTGCTTCACAGCGCTAGGGACCCAGGTTCGATTCTACCCTCGGGTAACTATCTGTGTGAAGTTTGCACGTTCTCCCCGTGTCTGCGTGGGTTTCCTCCCACAGTCCAAAGTTGTGCAGACTAGGTGGATTGTCCATGCTAAATTGCTCATAGTATTCAGGGATGTGTAGATTAAGTGGGTCATGGTGGATGGGTCTGGGTGGGATGCTCTGAGGGTCGGTGTGGACTAGTTAGGCCGAAGGGCCTGTTTCCACACTATGGGGATTCTATAAAAAAAAAAGATTAAAATCACCCATGATTATTAGTATCCCTTTATCACAAACACATAGTGTTTTGTTTTGTATGGTTTGTGCCACATTGTGGTTTTTGTTAGTGGGCCTGTAGCCTACTCGTACTAGTGACTTCTTTTCTCTGCTATTCCTCATCTCACCAAACCAGTTGTACATTTTGTTCTTCTGAGCTAAAGTGATCTCTGACTATTGCGCAAATGCCATAGTTGATTAACAGTGATATCTCTCCATCTTTACCTAACTTTCAAATTTTCTTCAATGTCATATAGCCCACAATATTCAGGACTGAACCCTTGTTATCTTACAGTCATGTCTCTGTAATTGCTATCAGATCATATTTATTTACTTCAATGTGTGCTGTCAATTTCTTTGCTGTATTATAAATGCTGTGTGCATTCAGAGACAAAGCCTTTTGTTTTTTCGTTATCTTTGGAGCATGTAGACTTAATTCGTATATTTATATTTTTCTCTGTCCCTTTGTACCAATCTTTGCTCCTCACTTTCCAAATTACTACTTTCCTTTTGTCTCTACTCTTTCCTTTACTGCATCTATCTACATTTGATTCTTTGCCCCCAGTATTTAGTTTAAAAACCCTCTTTACCTCCCAAATTATACAGTTCACAAGAACACTGGCCCCAGCAGGGTTCAGATGCAGACAATCCAAATGGTACAGCTCCCATTTTCCCCTGTGCTGGTGCTATTGACCCATGACCCAGTCCCCACGTCTCCCACACTAGTCTTTTAGATGTATTCATCTGTCTGATTTTATTTACCCTATGCCAATTTGCATGTGGTCAAGTGATTATAACCTTTGAGGTTCTGCTTTTGAATTAAGTGCCTAGTTCTTCATACTTACTATACAGAACCTCTTTCCTAATTCTACCTATGTCATTAGTACCTATATGAACCACGAAAACTGGATCATTATCCTCCCACTTCCAAGTTCATTTCCAGCTTTAAGCAAGCAACACAATTGTCTGGACTGTTGCAGTTTGCAGAGTACACTGTCAATCATCTTTGTATATTATCACCTATGTCCACTACACTCCTTGTTATTCCCTGTATTTGAAAGGCTTTCTGTAGCATAGTACTGTAGTCAGTTTGCACATCTACCGGCCTCTCATCCAAATAAACTATGAGAATCTCTAGCCTATTGGACAATTATAGAGACTGACACTTCTCTCTTTGGTCCCCCTATGTGCCTCACTCACAGTCAAAGCGTCCCTGACCACTGACCAAATCAGAAGACCATATTTTAAGCAGTGGAACTGCCTTCTGGAACAAAGAACCCAGCTAACTTTCCCCCTCCATCATGTATTGCAGTGCCTGTAGTCCATCCTTTTGCTGAGAAACTGAGAACCACAGCTGCTTGAACTTCAAAGCCTTGCTACAGATGTGTTTGCCCTGGATCCAGGAACTGCCACCTGCTGCAGCCTCAAAACATCACCTGAGCTGCATTTCTTATTGTGTTTTAATTGTTTAATTACATTATTCAATTCCACTTAAGTTCCGTTTTATTATCTTTTACTGACTTTACTACCAATTTATATATTGTATTAAAATTTAAGGGTAAGAAAATCCTCAACTACATTACCAGACTCATCAAACGGGTCAGTCCTTTTTCTGTAGTGGGCCAAGTAACAATTCAAATTAGTTCTAGTTGATCCCTGTCTGTCTCTGACTGCCTCCTTGGCAGCCTTCACATCATCTCATCTCCTCCATTTTGTTAGATGTCTTTTATCCTTGGGCAAAGTATCATGGGAGCCATAATATGTTTACAGCATAAAATTTGTATATGAGGAAATTTTGAAGTGGTTTTTGTAAAATGGCACAAGTCACTTTGATTCGGGCATTAGAAGCTATGCTGCTGATCTGATGTAGGAGTTCTTTGTGAACTGTTTAGTGCTGGTCAGTCTTATAAAATAAGTTTTTTTTGTCAATGCAGTTGTTTATGCTTGGTGAGAAAACAATCCTCATTGTGTTTATTTTTCTCTCTTAGACAGCGCTTGGCTGTACACAAAACTGGTAGTGTGCCTTTAGACATGGACCAGTTTCGTATGTTATATTGTACCTGCAAAATACCTGGAGTAACCAGAGATTCTCTTGTCAGCTACTTTAAGACAGGTAATTTTTGCTGATGCAATCATTACAGTAGCAGGCTAGGATCAGGTTATTTCTATTCTACATGGAAATGGTCTTCAGATACTGAAAATGCTGCCTGTAGGTGGCACTGTGAATATATTGTTATAAAACAAATGAAGAACAATAGGTAACAAGATGTAGAGCTGGATGAACACAGCAGGCCAAGCAGCATCAGAGGAGCAGGAAGGCTGACGTTTAGGCCTGAAACGTCAGCATTTCTGAAGAAGGGTCTAGGCTCGAAACGTCAGCCTTTCTGCTCCTCTGCTGCTTGGCCTGCTGTATTCATCCGGCTCTACACCTTGTTATCTCAGATTCTCCAGCATCTGCAGTTCCTACTATCTCTAAGAACAATAGGTACCTCAATGTTAAATGCCAACAGCAGAAGTTACATTTTCATAACATTTATGTACTTTGTTCCAAAGATATGTAGAATTCCTAATAGACTATCTGTTATGATTCATGATTATCAACCCATCTAATGGAGAGATATAAAATGTTATGGGAGACTGATACAGGAGATGTAGAATGCCCCTTGTGTGGCAATCTAGAATGAGAGGTTCTAGTTTTAGGATGAAGGGTAACAGATTGAAAACAGGTATGAGAAAAACATTACTTCTCTCAAATGGTCGTGAATCTGTGGAATTCACTACCTCAGTGTGGCGGATGCTGGGACATTGAATAAATTTAACAAGGAGATTGGAAATCAGTCTATCAGTAATGGGTTGAAGGGTTATGGAGAGTGGGCAGGAATGTGGAGTTGAAGTTGAGATAAGATCAGCCATTATCCCCTATGAAATGGTGGAGCAGACTTGAGGGGCTGAGTTGCCTACTCCTGTTCCATGTTTTTATGTTATTTGTGAATTTTGTGAAGACAGCCTTGCAAATAATTAGTAATAAAACCATAGCATGCTGGACAAGCAGTGCACTTTTATTTTCTCAGAATGAAACATGAAACAAGATTTTAAAAAACCGTACAGAGGTAACTTATTGAACAGTAGAGTGACACAAACCTACCTGAGCCCTTTTTACTGAGTATTTCAAACTTCCAATTCCTCTCAAAAACTACCTGCAGTGGTAGAGATGAGCAAGGACAAAGCCTGCCATGCCAACGTTGCTGTCTGTTTCCACCATAGTGATCTTGACCAAATCAGTCAGCTGTGGTCCAAAACAAGCCTTCATCAATTCCAGGATTTTACAGAAGAACTATTTTAAGAATGATGTTTTGATCAATTCAGTTGAATGATCAGCCTGACGTAGTGCTTTCCAGAAGGAAGAAACTGGAAAGGCTATGGGAGATTGAACACTGGAAAGTTGGTACTGGTGGAGACCAGATGTAATAAAACTTATTTTAATATATGAAACAGAAATAGTTGCACAGTGAAATTACATTTGATTTCTTGAAATTGTCTTTTTAACACAAAATATTGTTAAGACATTGAAGGTCTACCAGAAGCAAAATCCTTCGAACTATACAACATAGGAGCAGAAGTAGGCTATATGCCCATCATGGCTGATCTGATGACCTTCCACATCACTTTCCTGCCTTTTTCACAAAACGCTTGATTCCCTGATTAAAAATCTGCCTATCTGAGCTTTTCTATACTTCACATCCTATTGTCTACAGCTCTCTGTAGTTAAGAGTTCCACAGATTCACTATCCTCTTGGAGAAAAAAAATCTTCCTCATTTCTGCCTTAAATGGACAACCCCTTACTCTGACATTGTGCCCTGTGGTCTTTATATCTTCCACAAGGCGAAACAACTTCTTAGTATCTACCCTGTTGAATTTCCTAAGAAACTTGTGTTTCAGTAACATCTCTTATTTATTCTCCTATGTTACTAAACATAGGAGAATGTTCTCGTTCTTCTAAACTCCAATGAGCCTCTCCTCATAAGAAAATCCCTCCATATCCAGGATCAACTCGTAAAACTTCTTTCGACTGCCTCTAGTGCCTATGAACTCTGTTTACATTATAATATAAATAAAGACCATTGTTCCATTTGCCTTCCCTATTACCTGCTGAATTTGAATGTTATCTTCTTCCTGCCAAAGTGCATAAGCTCACACATTTTCCTACATTATGTTCCATCTGCCAACCTTTTGCCCAATCTCACACAACCTATCTATGTCACTGTAGACTGTGTCATTTGCACCCTTGCCCTATTTTATGTAACATCTGCAAAATTGATAATAGCACATTCACTTTCCTCATCCATGTCATTAATATATATTGTAAATATTTGGGGCTCCAGCACTCCAGTAGTTAAAATGCCTCTTCAATCCTAACTGTTTGACATCTATTAGTTAGTCCACCATCTGTCTATGCTAATGTACTACCCTGAACAGCATGGTATTTACCTTATCAAGTAGCTTTTTGAATGCCTTTTGGAAATTCACATATGTTACATCTACTGGTTCCACTTCATCTATTCTGCTTGTTACCTCTTGAAATAATTCTAATTCATTTGCCAGGCGTGAGTTCCCCTTCATGACGCCATGTTGACTGTGCTTTATTTTATCTGTTTCTAGGAGTTTTGCTGTTACATCCTTTAGCTAACTGTCCTATAGTTTTTGTCCCTCTCCATTTTTGAAAATGGGAATTACTTTGTTTTACAACTGACTGGGACTTTTCCAGAGCATAGGATTCTTGGAAGATTACTACCAGTGCATTTACTTTCTCTGTTGCTTGTAGCGACATAGGTAAATATTAGAAAGGACCCTCTAAGTAGGGGAGTGGATAAAGGGCTTGCATTGAGATTGCGTGGATATATCGTGAGATTAGCAAAGGGCCAATCGATCCCTTTTGTATGCCAAACTTCAATAATTTTAATTCTAATGCAGGAAAGAGTTTCAGGCAGCAAAAATGAGGAAACTGTGTACGTGCAACACATAATATGTTGACTTGCTGCTAAATTGTTTCTGCAAGTTTAAGTTCCTAGTTGTGGCACTTTGCTTTATGAAAGCAGCATTTTTGGTGATTCTTAACATTGGTAAAAGAATGATAACTAAAATGTTCTGTTTAATCTTTATAGAAGCTGAAGGACCATGCCCCTCCCATTTAGTGGTTCTTTGTCGCGGACGAGTATTTACCTTTGACACTGAGTATGAGCATCACATCTTAACACCACCAGAACTTCTCAGGTTTTTATTTGCTTTTCCTTATTACACTATATATAGTGGAAATGTTGAAAATGTTATGAAATGTTGAAAATGTTACAAAAGTTTAAAACACAAAGTTTAAACTGTGCACGTTCAGGTGGACAGTACTGCCCAGGAGAAGGGTAATGAAAGCTCTATAACAGAGGCTTCCATTTACACTGTAAATGGAAGATGTGAAAATACTCGAGCTTCTGCAGAATTTGGATTTTTAAAAAAAACTACTATTTTAACTATTTTAAAAGTTACTGCTGATTGTTAGACTTGTATTGCGTGTTTAGTCATCTAAAATTGCTTGAGTGGTGGCTTGCCAGTATGAGTTAATAATGAGACAGCATGGAAAACTGGACATCTGGGACGTGAGTGAACAGGCATTAAAACTGTCAATCTCTTTAATTAATCAGATTGAAGGATTGTGAAAGTAACAATGAATCACAGAAGTGAGGTGCAAGTGACCTACCCACGACATCAAGGCAGCAATAGACTGAGTGTTAAATCAAGGAGCCAAGCAAAATTGGACTTAATGTGAATTGGTGCAGGAGTGGAGTTGGAATCCTACTCTGGCACAATAGAAGATGGTTCTGGTTATTGAAGGCTAGTCATCTCAGGACTTTGTTGCAGGAGAACTAAGCTTGTGGAAGTGGTCCTGGGTCAAGCCTTCTTCCACTGCTTTATCACAGGCCCATCCATTGTAAAGGCAGAAGTGATACACTGTTAGAAACTGAGGTTCCCCTTACCAGTTCAAGTGCATTTAAAAGATCATCTGATGTTGTATTGAAGAGAACAGGAGATTTATCCCTTAATTAGAATCTCAAAAAAGTTTTTTTTTTTTTTGAAGCTCTGCACAAATTGGCTGCTGTGTCTCCTACACTCCAACAGTAACTACACTTCAACAGTGCTTACTTGGCTGTAAAATGCACTGAGAGAATAAAACAAAGAACTCCAGATTCTGGAAAACTGAAATAAAATTAATTGATAGGGGAACTCAGCAGGTATGACACATCTGTGGAAAGAAAGCAGAGTTAATGTTTCAAATCCAATGACTCTGCAATTAGAAACTAACTGCACTGACCGTATAAATATTGTAAGTACAAGAGCAGGTCAGAGGCTAAGAGTTCTGCAGTATTACGACTATGACAGGAGCAATGCACTGATAAACAAGTTCCACCATTCCTCCACCGTGTGCATAAATGTTTGGTTTCAATCACCAAATGGCCAGTTGTTTCCCTTTTTTTTTGTAATATTGTTGATGAATAAAAGAGATTTTCACCAGGCTTCAGAACTCAGAATAATCCGTTTATTCTAACACTTAACTTATTCATAACAACAAATGTAACTGGTTAACCTTTAAGCTAGTATCTGGAATTGGAACCACATAACTTTTCTTAAATGAACACAACACGAAAGGCAACAGATTCTGCAAAGATAATTAACGTAAACTTATAGGGGTATGTGCAACATGGCTACAATAAGATTTGTACAAAATTGCACAAGAAGTCCAGCAAGGCCTACCTTGATGTCAGCAGCATCTTGCTGTCTCTTTTATGCTTTTGCTGAGCAGCGTGACATGTTTCTCACTAAGCAGTGCTGAGTTGTGAATTAAGGTGGATTATAACTTATTAATTGTCTTGATAATAGCCCAACTCGCCTCATTACTATTCAGCTGCTCATCTTACCAAACGTACCAAACAAGGGGCAGGGAGGACAGATAGAGGTGAAATTCAGTGTGGTGGGTTTCCACATTGAGAAAGTGGGTGAAAATGGGCTGTTGGGGTAGTGCAAGGTAAAAAGGAAATTTGGCCCCAGCGCTGATTGCTGTGGCACTGCACTAATTGCAGTTTGCCATCTGGAAATGCCTCCCTTTATCCCAACTGTCTCTTATTATGTAGCCAGTCCTTTACCTATGCTAATATACTGCCTGTTCCACCAACAACTGTTACCTTATCAAGTAGTCTTATGCACGGTACCTTCTCAAGTACTTTTTGGAAATGCTAATACATCATATCTACTGATTCCCCTTTATCTATTCTGCTTGTTACAACCTCAAAGAATTCTAATAAGTTTGTCAGGCATGATTTCCCCTTCATGAAGCCATGTTAACTGTACTTGATTATGTTAAGTTCTATTACATGCTAATAATAGACTCTAACATTTCCCCAATGATGGAAGTTAAGCTAACTTGCCTATGGTTATATTTTTTTCTCCCTCTCCTTTTGAATAAAGGTGTGACATTGGCATATTTTCAATCCTCTAGAACCTTTCCAGAATCAAAGAATTCTTGAATGAATACTGCTAGTACGTCCATATTCTGCAGCTACTTTCCTTAATATCCTAGTTTTTATAAGACCATAAGATGTAGGAGTAGAATTAGATGTTTTGGGCCTTTGGGTCTGCTCCACTAGTCAATCGTGGCTGATGTTTCGCAACCCCATTCTCTTGCCTCTTTCCGATAACTTTTGATCCCCTTGCCAATCAAGAACCTATCTATCTCTGTCTTAAGTACACTCGATGACTAGGTCTCCACAGCCTTCTGCAGGAAAAGTACCACAGATTTGCCACCCTCTGGCTGAAGAAATTCATTCTCATCTCATTTATAAATGATTGATTCTTCACTCTGAGGCTATGCCCTCGGCCCTAGTCTCTACTACTAGTGGAAACACCTTCTCCATGTCAATTCTATCTAGGCCTGTCAGTATTCTGTAAGTTTCAATCAGATCCTCCCTCATCCTTCTAATTTCTATCAAGTATAGACCGAGAGTCCTCAACTGCTTCTCATATGACAAGTCATTCATTTTCACCATCATTCTTATGAACCTCCTGTGGACCCCCTCGAATGCCAGCACATCCATCTTTAAATACGGAGTCCAAAACTGCTCACAATATTCCAAATGTGGTCTGACCAGAGCCTTATACACCCTCATCAGTACATTCCTGCTCTTGTATTCTAGCATTCTAGAAATGGATGCCAAAGTTGCATTTGCCTTCCTAACTGAACCTGCATGTTAACATTAAGAGAATCCTGAACTTGGACTAAGTACCTTTGTGCTTCAGATTTCTGAAGTCTTTCCCTGTTTAGAAAATAGTCTACACCTCTATTCTTCTTACCAAAGTGCACAACATCATACTTTCCCACATTGTATTCCTTGTGCCACCTTCTTTATCCATACTTCTAGCCTGTGCAAGTCTTTCTGTGACACCTTATTAAAGACCTTCTGGAAATCCAAACAGATCCCATCCACTGGATCTCCTTTGTCCAACTTACTCATTACCTCCTCAAAAAATTCAAACTGATTTTTCAGGCATGACCTTCCCTTGACAAAGTTGTACTGACTCCACTCTATTTCACCAAGCACTTTCAAGTACCTTGCAGTCTCATCCTTAATACTGGACTCTCAAATCTTATCAACAACTGAGGTCAGCCTAACTGGCCTTTAATATTTTGTATTCATCTTTTGTATTGAAAGAAGCTCTTACTGTCTGTTTTTGTATTACTTGTTTGCGCTTAATAAGGTAGTCAAAAATACTGATATTTAGAAATGTTATCATGTTTCCAGAGAGAGAGAGAGAGGCTTGCTTAGATTTACTTCCTTATAATAAGTTACTTGATGTAACTTTGGAAAGGGATTGATGAAGAACTGTTGCACAGATGCCCCATAGCCTGTTTTCCCAAGCCAACTTTTCCAACAATCAAGGGCCTTAAATGCCATCTTTTTTTTCTCCTTAAAAGTTTTGCTTGCCTTTTTCCCCAGTGATTTGACTTTCTGCAAACAGCAGGTTGATCAAACCATACATTAAACTGTTGACCTCACTCCCAAGAACGACATGGTTCTATATCTTTAGTTTTTCCACAGAGTTCAGAAGTATAAATATGCATTTCCAAAAGCAGCAAGTAGGTCATGTCCTGACCAGCACTCAGTATACTTGAAAGATTGCAGGTGAATCACCTAAAATACCCCAAAATCACCAAAAATGAAAAACACAATCAAAAGGGAAAAATCAATCAAATAATTCGAGAAAGGTCTTCCTGTTATGCGACAGAGGCAGAATCCGTGAGGGGCTGTTCCTGCAATCACAGATTCTGTCTCTGTCACCCTCCTTCAATCACAGGCTGTTTTTCACCCACATTTGCTGTCTTGCAGCTTGTTAGTGATTGTCCAAGTTATTTGCTTCCATCGGAATACTGTACCTTTACATATCCCAGCAGCTGTAAGGAATTGAATAATATTCCCCTACCTTTTATTTTTAATCCTTTATTTAACGGGTGGTTCTACCCTTTACTGCCCCCCATTTTTGGCTTCGCTGATATGTGGCCTGCCAACATCACTAGCCTTCCTTCTATTAGCTGACTGCCAGGATATCATTGAAAGTGACTTATTAGAAGCAAGTCTTCTTTTCTCTATCCCTTTTCATTTTCCTATTATAGGTAGATCTGTCTCCTGCACTTATTTTGCCTGCACTGCTGCAAGAAGATCCTATGGAGTTAACAGTGGGGTGGCATGGTGGCTCAGTGGTTAGCACTGCTGTCTCATAGCACCAAGGACCCAGGTTTAATTCCAGCCTTGGGTGACTGTCTGTGTGGACTTCGCACATTCTCTCCTTGTCAGTGCGGGTTTCTTCCGGGTGTTCCGGTTTCCTCCCACAATTCAAAGATGTGCAGGTTAGGTGGATTGGCCATGCTAAATTGCTCATAGTGTCCAGGGATGTGTGGGTCAGGTGGATTAGCCATGGGAAATGCAGAGTTACACGGATAGGGTGGGGGTGATGAGTCTGGGTGTCATCCTTTTCAGAGAGTTGGTGTAGACTTGTTGGGCCGAATGGCCTGTTTCCACAATGGAGGGATTCTGTGTTTCTGAACTTGTGCCAGTGATACCTAAACTGCTCAATATTTTCTGATACAGTGTTAAGCTACCTTTCAACTTATTTCACAATTATCAATGTGTCAAATTACACCGTTGAAATGAAAATTAATGCAGCTCAATTAAATATTTCAAGTTCTTTATGGTAGCTGGATTGTAACTTGATTAACTATTAGCAGCTCCTGCTCATCCTTATCTTTTCCATGTAGACAACTGACATACATCAGGAAAAGATGTAACAATGAACCTGAAGGACCAGGTGTGTCAGCATTAACTGCTGAAGAAAGAACGCGTTGGGCAAAGGTAGTTTGAGGCAATTTCAGTTATTGTTGGCATTGATAGGCTCCTTGTTGTTCAAGTACGGCCAGGTTGTAGATGATTTCATTGTCTTATGTGTGTTCTTTTGTTACTAAAGATAAAAGTGTGGGGACACCGTGGATGACTGCAGAACTGGCAATTTATATTATCATTGTTGCTGTTTGGAGAAATCTTCTGCAGCTATGCCATCTCTTGCCTTCCTCTGGATATGCGGATGTTACGAGTTTAGCATATGGACCTCGAAACATGCTCATTTGAGTTGGCTGACTGCTGTATACTTTCAATAGCGGTAGTCTCCAATAGAACATAGATCAGCACAGCACAGGAACAAGCCCTTTGATGCACTATATTTGCACCGACTGCGATGTTATTCTACACTAATTACACCTGCCTGCACATGGTCTGTATCCCTCTATTCCCAGCCTGTTTATTTGTTTGTCTAAATGCCCCAGAAAGTTGCTATTGTATCTGCTTCTACCAGTTCCCCTGGCAGCACATCCCATGCACATACCATCTGTGTAAAACAAAAATTTTACTCATATATCTCCTCAGAACTTTCCCCTTCTCATCTTAAACCTGTGCCCCCATTTGACATTTCACTCTGGGGGAAAAAACTGACTATCCATTGTGTCCATACCTTTTGTAATTTTATATACTTCTATAAGGTTGCCCCAAGTTTCTGCTCTAGTGAAAACAGTCCAATTTATCCAATTTCTTCTTATAGCTAATACGTTCCATTCCAGGCAACACCCTGGTAAACTTGTTTTGCAGCTTCTTCAAAGCCTCCACATCCTTTCTGTAGTGTGTCAACCAGAACTGCAAGCAATACTTGTCCTTGAGAAGTATGTACCTGTCAGGCAGGGAGGAAGTGGTCGAGCGAGGGAACCGTGGTTTACTAAAGAAATTGAATCTCTTGTCAAGAGGAAGAAGGAGGCTTACGTAGAGATGAGGCGTGAAGGCTTAGTTAGGGCGCTTGAGAATTACAAGTTAGCCAGGAAGGACCTAAAGAGAGAGCGAAGAAGAGCCAGGAGGGGACATGAGAAGTCTTTAGCAGGTAGGATCAAGGAAAACCCTAAAACTTTCTATAGGTATGTCAGGAATAAAAGAATGACTGGAGTAAGATTGGGGCCGGTCAAGGACAGTAGTGGGAAGTTTGCGTGGAGTCCGAAGAGATAGGAGAGGTGCTAAATGAATAATTTTCGTCAGTATTCACACAGGAAAAAGTCAGTGTAGTCGAGGAGAATACTGAGATACAGTCTATTAGACTAGACGGGATTGAGGTTCATAAGGAGGAGGTGTTAGCAATTCTGGAAGGTATGAAAATAGATAAGTCCCCTGGGCCGAATGGGATTTATCCTAGGATTCTCTGGGAAGCTAGAGAGGAGATTGCAGAGCCTTTGGCTTTGATCTTTATGTCGTCATTGTCTTCAGGAACAGTGCCAGAAGACTGGAGACTAGCAAATGTTGTCCCCTTGTTCAAGAAGGGGAGTAGAGACAACCCTGGTAATTATAGACCAGTGAGCCTTACTTCGGTTGTGGGTAAAGTGTTGGAAAGGATTATAAGAGATAGGATTTATAATCATCTAGAAAGGAATAATTTGATTAGGGATAGTCAACACGGTTTTGTGAAGGGTAGGTCGTGCCGCACAAACCTTATTGAGTTCTTCGAGAAGGTGACCAAACAGGTGGATGAGGGTAAAGCGGTTGATGTGGTGTATTTGGATTTCAGTAAAGCGTTTGATAAGGTTCCCCATGGTAGGCTATTGCAGAAAATATGGAGGCATGGGATTGAGGGTGATTTGGCGGTTTGGATCAGAAATTGGCTAGCTGTAAGAAGACAGAGGGTGGTGGTTGATGGGAAATGTTCATCCTGGATTTCAGTTACTAGTGGTGTACCTCAAGGATCTGTTTTGGGGCCACTGCTGTTTGTCATTTTTATAAATGACCTGGATGAGGGCGTAGAAGGATGGGTTAGTAAATTTGCGGATGACACCAAAGTTGGTAGAGTTGTGGATAGTGCAGAAGGATGTTTCAGGTTACAGAGGGACATAGATAAGCTGCAGAGCTGGGCTGAGAGGTGGCAAATGGAGTTTAATGCGGAAAAGTGTGAGGTGATTCACTTTGGAAGGAGTAACAGGAATACAGAGTACTGGGCTAATGGTAAGATTCTTGGTAGTGTGGATAAGCAGAAAGATCTCGGTGTCCATGTGCATAGATCACTGAAAGTTGCCACCCAGGTTGATAGCGTTGTTAAGAAGGCGTACAGTA